TGTTACACGACTGCGTTCCCAAACAGCAGGCATCCACCTCCGAAAGCAATGACTGCATTTATTTTGTTTTTCTGCTCGCTTTGAGGCGCAAGTAATTTATTTTATTATACAGTATATGAAAATTATTATATTCAGTGGCTTCTCCTACTTTTCTTAGTGATATATAGTGCCAGTTTACCAGGAAGTGACGATTTTGTTCTCTTTGACTCGTTGGATGGAAACGGTGCTTATTCACAAATATTTTATACGATATTTCAGTTTTGTGCATAAGTTAAATTCGCAGCTTTGGATGGAAACCCGGCTAGTGTCACATGATCCTTCAGAAATCATTCTAATATGCTGATTTGACTGTTTTTAAGGTAAATAGACAACATTTGTATTTGGAAATTGGTTTGAGCCTAACTGATTTATTTTTACCTAAGTGACCTAAGTGTATTTTAGAATTTGTCTAGTATTAACCTTAAATGTCTTATGTAGCGTCTTGTGACTTTTGTGACTTTTGTTATTTATTGAGTTATTGAGTTGCTGCTGACATGATGGTGTTAAAAAATTCAATAAATAAATAAATATGTTAGGTTGCTGCTCAAACAACTGTTATCAAAGGTAAAAACATTTGTGCTACTTAATATTTATAATATTTAGCCGTGATAATTCTTTTCAGTAGGTCTGTCACGATAACAACTTTTTGTTGTGCAATATATTGCCCCAGAAATAATTGCGATAAGCGATATTATTGTAATTTTAAACACCATTTTATGCCACTGAATATATAATCATAATGTAACAGCATAATAATGCAAGAAGGCCTACACACTTCCAAATTACAACAAACGTTTAATTTTTAAGAATATTTAGATGGAAATGAAGTGTCAAAATATTAGATACCTTAAAAAACCTGAATAAATAGTAAATAAACATTTTCTAACAAAAAGTGCAAAGTAACAAGTAGAAAAAAAGAAAAATGCACAAAGAACTTTTATGGAGATTTTTTTTCCATCTACAGATTTTTCCCTGATCTTCTTTTCTCTGTAAATGAAGGGTGCACACTATTGCTGAAAAACACAATCACTACTTAGCAGTCAGATGTCCGTATGCACAAAGGCACAGATCCCTAAACAAGACCAAATCTGCAGGTGAAACGTTTTTTTTGTAGAAGCAA